TTTTTGTCGCCTCAGGGAACTTGTTGGCGATTTTGATAACCTCCACCAGGATATCTTCTAGAAGGTTTCTGTGATGTTGAATTGAAAAATGGAGTCCTTTTTTCAGGAACGCAGTTGTTTTGGGATTGAGAGGAATTGATAATAAATTTAGTATTTTCCTCCTATCCTCGTGCTGATCCGTAGGTTTTGTTACCTCGGAAGCCACTTCAGCTGGAATAATACTGGCTTTAACTTAGCTTGGCTTATAATCCCAAACTTACGCAATTAATCATCATCCCGTTTTGTTATTAAGTCAGAAATTCTATTTGATTTCCTGTCAGTCATGCTCTGGAGATTTTGAAAATCTTCCGGAGACAGGATCCTGGCCAGATCAGGCCGATGCTACTAGGGTATTGCTCGGCAATGGTCACTCTAGCGAAGTGATACAAAGAAACATACGGGCCGTGAAAAGCAGATGGCAGAACGGGGACTATGAAAGAACAACAACGACGTTGAAGGATTCAAAAAAGTGGATATGACCACCTTCGTGCGAACTAACTCAAAAATGACGGCTAATGAAAAAGAAATCAAGATTTTTCACGAGTCTACCAACGCAACATGAAAGGGTAGATAAATTGGATTGTTCAGGGGTTTACTGTATGTCATACGGCGCCTGCGAATATAAATATATTTGCTACACATGGAGAGAAATAATCACACGAATCAAGGAACATCAGAGGTTCTGCAGGAAAATGGATATCGAAAAATCAGAAATAGCGGAACACATCGCACAAACTGGACACGACATCAATTGGAAAGCAACACAATGAAGAGCCCCATACGGAGACAATATAAGGAAGTGGTAGATTAGGGCGCCATTGACATCCTTGGGGATTATTATCTAATGAACATGAGATTGGAGGAAGGTAGAGTTAGCGATAACTTTGCCTGCTGCCTAAACAAACTCCGGAAAAACAAGAATAGAGCAATACCAGCAAAAAGAAGACCCCTGGATCAAGGAGCTACCTCTTGCCGGAGGAAAAGAGATCACGATGAAGAAAGTGGGGGGCATGGGTTTTCGGCAATAGAGCGAAAACGTTGTCAGTGAATGCTGTCCGTTTCGAATAAACCAGTACAACTTTGGGGCCTGGCAGTCAGGGAGCTGGGCAGACGGATATGCAAACAGTCACAGAAATTCGGCGTTATGACCAAAATGGTCCACTTGAGATGCCACATGCGACCAGGGATA